AAGTATAAAATAAAAAAATTTTTAGAACTATTTTCGTATTTATGAATTTGCGTAACTTTAAATCATCTACCTACTTAAATAAAGATTAATGTAATTCTCGTTTTTCATGTATTATAGTTTGATCGTTGCTTCAAGTTGTGCGGGACATTGTTGGCGTTCGACGCGCATTATTAGTTGTTGAAAAGCTTCGCTAGTTTATTACAACGAGAACCGCTAATTGTTCAACGATTGCAAGAAATATTCACGTAACAACATAATCTCATATGCTGCGTTCGAGGAGCGCCATCGGAACTGTTGCGTTTACTCTATCCATGTTTTACATCTAATGAACGGTGAAAGATCGAATGATATTGTACAATAATTCTGATAATGCTCTCGCTGAACGCAGTTATACAGAATCATACAGCATACGACTCTCGTAACTGCCTGCCCGCACGAGACTGCAAACGAATGGCGACCTTGCGTACACAACGCTCTGTAACGTCAAAACAACATGCGCTGGGCACCGAGTGGTTTCTACGAAATATTTCACGTGTTACGAAACAAATGCATAACGAATATCGCGGATATACCATTCCTCGCATTTCCAGAGTGATTTCAAGCCGACTGTTTCTGCACAGCGAATCGAACATATATCTAAAGATATATTTTATCTAGATAAAATAGACGTTTACGAAACTGGAGTTATTATTATCATTTTACTTTACGTCACATTTTCATGCCCCGAAAAAATAACGTTCAGTTTTACCTCTCTCAATTTTTCGGAATCGTACAATTAAAATCATTCCTCTAAAAAAAATTCAAAGGGAAGAATGATAATAACGGATTATATAATTTTTCAATCCCAAAAAACAAAGAAAGTTTTTTTTATACTCTTCTCTCCAAAATTAGAATTTAGAATTAGATCTGTTACTTTTCTTTTCGAGCGGAGTAATTTAACGAATTTTTCCCAATTTCCCACGGTGAGAAGACTGACCGGTGAAAAAAATCGGTGAAAAATTCACCGTCCAGACAATCTGAAATATTTTTGTAATACGGATGTGTACTATTACTTAGATAATTTTGGTTGGGATCTCTCGAGGGGAATCCGTCGTCTGACCATTTACATAGCAGTACTACTGAATACAGAAACGGGAGCTACGTTGCAGCGGCAACAAAGTCAAGGCGCGTTCGGCAGCAACAGCGAGAGCCGGCGAGCAAGCCGGCGGGTGCGAAGCTGACGGGTGTCGAAAGCGAATTACCACCACGAGACCCGATGCAGTTCTCGGCGCACGTTCGTTGCGGCGCTTCGACACTCGCGCGATCCGGAATCTGGGATGTAAATGGCTCCCGACAATCGCGAGAGCGGAAGGCTTTGCGCGTGTATCGCTCCCACGGTGAATATAACCGGCGACAACGCGGAACGAAATAAACAGCTGCGAGAAAGTGTTCGGCACAACAACAACGAGGAACTTGGTCGTTTCGTAAGTGGCTCCTGATTACGCACGCTAATTAAGTTACCTTCGTGCCTTTCCCCGAACGTTTGTCGCGACGCATTAAATCATACACGAATTTAATTGTATCGCGATGAGAGAAAATCAGGATTACGCTTACAGCGAGTAAATTATGAGGGAGAAGTGGGAAGGGGGATACGAGGATAACTTTTACCGAGTCTAACTTGGGAGAAGGGGCTCGTAAAGATTAACTATACCATGCTAAGATTAAACGTACTTTACAAGTTAAGTCCAGGGAGAAACCGTAACACCGCAACACTGGAATAAAGTTCGCGATAAAAGATCTACTAGAGCGGGCCGCTCTGCATTTAGCGACACTTCATTCCACGGCAGAAATGCACGATGACTTTGTCTCTTTCCCTTCCGTCCTCGCTTTTGTCCCACGGCCTCGCCTGGCGCCTTACTCTCACGATATAATTGTCCTAGAACAAATGAACCAGTCCCTTACCTCTACCTCGTCTAGTAAGAAATTAAAAATTTCAGTGGCTCCGACCTGACGTTCTGTCGCCCGACAAATTGCCACCGCGACGAACGTGACGGCTCATACCAAAACCCGCCTCTAGCTCGATGCGGAGAATAAATAGAAGAAAAGTACGAACACACTCGCTAAACGAGACCCCTTTGACGGAAATTAGAAGAGGAAATTTCGTTTAAGGGTAACTTCATCTCCATGGAATTTCAAAAGTTCCACGGTACCTTTCGGCGCAAATAATGCACGGCGGTTTTTTTTAACAGTCGAGAATTACCCCCAATTGATCTTTTTATTATTACAAATGAAAAAAGAGAGAGATTTTCGATCGTAGCGATTTTTTTAATGGTCAGATATTGAAGCGAAACGCGTCCTTCGACCGGCATAAATCACTGTTAGATATCGAAGAAGCAATGATATACCCAATCCCTTGAGTTAAAACACTTTGTTATTTTTAACTTCCATAACATAAATCAATCCGCGTTTCTGTGATTAAATTGTTTAGTTTTCTTTTTTTTTTTTTAAGTAAACAACGTTCATATTAACGTACGCACTAAATAATATATTAAATTTGAATCAAATGTAATACATTTTGAGTTAAATTCAATTGTTAACTCCATGATTTTAGTTAAATTAATGACATAAGAGTAGTGGCGGAAATAATTGCAAAACCACTGAAATTGGGTGTAATTTGACGTCATGAATTTAACAGTGACGAACACAACAAAAGGCCACGACACATTTTCTAATCGCTCGATCGATACGATAATTGTGGATCCTCGAAATTACCGTGTAGGCGAGCGCGTTATGCAAATGCGGCTCAGACGCCATATGATATTTTCATGATGTGGATTCAGCCGACCGCACAACTAGCTACTTGCATATAGTACGGAGGCCGTGATATCGGTTAAACGAGTTTGTCTCGTCCGCCGTCCACTGGCTGTCCGCAAAATCTGCAAATAATTCTGTGACGACCTTCCGTCGCACGGCGAAAGAATTGCGATGAATTGTGTTTAACGACGTTCGTGGCAATCCGGCTGTCCTGCATCTGTGCGGTATTTGCCGCATCGGCATTCTATACGACGCAATACTCCTGATCTTTAGTTTAGACTTTCTCTCCCCAAAAAATTAGTCCTCTATTATTTGCGATTGAATCCGCCACACAGAAATCTCTACATTATCAATTAATTATTGTCCATTCATTTTTGACAATTCGAATTCTGACACAACCGCACACCGTCGATTATCCCATCAATTATGGATCGGATTAACGAGAACTCGCGTTGTCATAAATCCAGGCTAGGCATCACGGCTGATCAATGTTGATTACGTGCGGCTCCTCGCAAACGGGGATGTACCATCTCCCTTCCATAACATTTTATTATCTCGAATTTCGGGCGCGCCAAACGACATATAGAATATTCCATTTATTTGACACCGATATTTCATGTCGACCAATTTTCCAGGGTTGTATGAAACTAAACTTTTTGTGTTGCGCGATACAGTTATTTACAACGGTCGCATGAAATACACACATCGACGTCCCGGCATAAAAAAAAGATATGCGGATCAGAGTTTAGAAAATCGCGTTTACTCTCGTTCAGTCCGTTTTTTTCCCCCGATATAAATGTGTTGAACAAATAACGTAACGCCAAAACGATCGCCGACTGGCAAAATTCTTTCATAATTTGTGCCATGTGCATATAGCAATCGTTATTATAAATTTGCCGCATTTTACATGTACAGACGCAATTTTCCACGTTATTAAATTCCGCAATAGAAGCTTCAGATTTTCATTTCATTTTTACACACACAACTATATTTTTGCTGAAAGCGAATGATTACCCCACGTAATAATACTTATTATTATTCTCATATAACTGCTCATAAAATCGTAATTACTATTATTATTAATGCCTTTTTGATAATCATTGTGGAACACTCGCTGATTGCAAATCGCGAATTTTCGAGTGATTAATTATCCCGCGCTTTTACTGTGCTCGCAACGAATCGAAGTCGTTTAATTCACGAACGGCAGCATCGGCCGAATACTCGATCGATGCCATTTTTTCCTATTTGCGGCTCAAGCCTTAATCCGTAGATAAGCTTCGTGTACACGCAGAAACATACATCTGCGTGAACGTCCGCCGACATACATTTAAATTTCCGCGAGTAAAGCCAAGCTTGCAACGACGTTCGTTTTGAATAGAAAAAAGGGTTGAGCCTAAATTGATGGAAACGCTCCGAAGCTGTTAGCGGACTGTTTAATTTTAACGTTCGTAGAGCTTTGCGTTCCTATGCATCATCCAGAGATGCGGTTTCGCCTTAAATTTTTGATTTCCATTTTTCCATTTGATATTTTCGCGGAACTATGATAATTTTTTTTCCGCATACGCACGTGACTTGATCTCGTTCAAGTGGCATCGAACGTAAATTAACTTTTCGTAGATTTGATTTTATAAAGTCTTACCTTAGAAATTGTGCAGTCTCTCTCTAACACGATGCAGTCTAATGCAAAAAACCTGTAACAAAAATACGGAAAATGTTAATAAACACAAAAGGAATAAAATAATAGCCATTATTATTCAGCAACGCTAAATAAATGATAATTATTCGATAATCCGAATGGTTTCCTGTATTATAAACGTTATAAATTAGCGTTGATTATTATGGAAATTATTCTCATTTGCTAATCATTTAAGCAGCATAATCATTGAAACGTAATCACAAATGAAATTCTCTCATCGAGGACAGAATCGACAGAAAAAAGATATTCGTTTTGATCTCGATGCTTTAGTTATAATTCATAAGGATTCGTACGCGATTATAATATCGAAAACCTGCCAAGAAGAAAATGGAGAAAGAAGAAAATAATTCACCAAAAAATGACACTCGTTTCATTCACGTTTCTGTCGAAAAAATGTCTATTTCATGATAAATTCATGTTAAATATGCAAATATATTCAGATTCATTTAAATGATACAAAATTTGATAAAATCCAACAAGATATTACGCAAAGGAACATTATTATAAATGCGAAAAAAAAAACCATTAAACTTCGTATAATTCATTTATAATTATAATATAAATCCACTTATTTATTTATTTGCGTTTTGCGAGTGATATTTAAACTAATATTTTGTGTGTACTAGAAATAAACAAAGATGTTTTTCATGATTAAAATGTAAAATTACATTGCATTTCAACTTTTATACACATTATCAATCGATTCATAATATTCAATTAATATTATAACGATAACCACCATATTTTCGTATAATTTATATGCTAATAAACAGCGCAGCAAATTTTACGTTCGCGCGAGATATAGAATGAAGTTTGTCGCAAATACTAAATTTCAAATTGTCAAAATTATATATATTTA